TCTATTTGTCTAACAGTAGGTCAAAATCAAGTGCCAATGTTTTTAAATGTTGTATAGTGTAGGGCATACCCAGTCAATCAATACCCAATCAATTCCCTGCCCCTCCCAACACTGCACGTGTTATATGCTTTTGTCTAGAGGATGATTAATAAGGTGCTATACTTTTTATCAATTTGTTTATTTCTTGGTCCCACAGGCTTACTCTGTGCTTTATGACTGGTCCCCAAAGCTCTTTTCTTTGCCACTTGATTGGTCGAAGGCTCTTCGGCATTATCATGTACAATGCATGACCAGCAGTCTTGCATTTCAAGTGAGGACTAGGGATAAACTCGGGTTAGACTCCAGATTTGGTCCATACTCCTTTTTGGCCAAACCCAGAAGGCAGCTGTTGGTGCCAAGACAACCATCTTTGGGCCGGGATTCCCCGCCCTGCAGCTGCATGTACACAGAGGGGTTGGGATGTTCATGATATCATTAACCTAATATGACCGCATAGCCATTTCCCCTGCTCACAGCTGATTTGACAGGCAATGACAGTTTACCAAACCCAACCTCATCCCTAGTGTCAGGATATCTGAATGATTAATTACGTCAGCAATATTGATCATTTTATTTGATCGATGTATGGCAGTTCCTCCAATATGAAAATAAATTATTAAGTATAAATATGCTGACCAAATAATTTTTCCTGAAATTCAGTGCTCTATGCAGATATTCTTTTTAACCCCTTCACGCCTAAGGGTAAAACAAATCTAAATGCCTAAGCACAATTTTTCAACGTTGACATGTGTTAGTAAAACCGTACATAGCATCACAACTACTTTGTACATCCAGGTGAATTATGCTGCGTTTTTTTTCAGGACAAATTGGGCTTTTGATTTGGTGGTAAATGGTAATGGATATCTCCTGATTTTTTTTATAATCAAAGGAAAACTGGCCCAAAATAGTAAAAAAAACTTTTTTTTATTTAGCTGTGTGTTTCTTGTTACTACCATAACCTACCACCAAACAATAACCCAAAATAAATTCTCCAGCTCTTGACGATCGCAGCGATACCATATATGTGTATGTTATTTGTTGTTTGTACCCGTAGTAGAGCCCAGAAACAAAAGTGCACATTTTTGTTTTTGTCTTTTCTTACCTAAAACACACTGACACTAACTGACACCAATTTTTTTTTTAATTCTGACCTTTGACCCTGGCCTTTTGACCTTGACCTTTGACCCTGACCTTGACCCAAACACTAACCCTGGCACCGAACTAGATCAAACCTTGATCTAGATATGTTTTCTTTATTTTTTCTTTTCTTTTTTAATATTTATTTATCTTTTCTTTTTTTTTTTTACAAAATTTTTTTCCCGTCTATGCCAGGAGTTAGAGAGATACAATGTATCTCTCTCCTCCATTCATAGAGAAAAAAACAAGGGGGCCAGGCTGTACAGTGACTGATCACTGTGATAGCCAATCAGAGGCTATCACGGCGTTCATGTGACCCAGAATCGGGAGTCCTGGGTCCCGATCATTAGAACTATCAGTGACACCGCGGTCTTTGTGCTGGGAGCACGCCATGCTCCCTGCACAAAGACAGGTACGCAAATATGTGGTCCCACGTAAAAAAAGCCGCATATTTGTGTTAAGTCGGCTTCCCTTTTTGTCCTCCTTAATTAGGGATCGCCCCTGAGGGTGTAGTTTGTATTATTTACCCAACTCCGATTGGAGGGCAGCATTACCCATTACCTACTTGTTTGCACAGATAATAGCTTCATTTTACCATCAGATGGCACTCTGATACGACAAATCCCTATAATACATTTTCTAGGATAAGAGAATAGATTTATTGGATTCAGTCTTTATAGGATAAATCAATTTTATCCTTAGATTAATCTTGATGTGTTAATTTATTTAGAAGGTGTATAAGCATATCCCTCCAAGGTGTTTGGGGCATTTATGATTTTTCGATACAATGGCATTTTAAACATGAAATCTTAGTTAAGGAGATGTAGGTTTATAAATCGATCCATGTCAAAATATTAATTATACTCCTAAAATATTTTGTACGCACTTGTACTGTTACCATCTTCTGAGAATGTATAGATTATGGAATATATATTTCTTATTACAATGATTACAGGGAATAAACATAGACTAAGTAATTTTATCTTAAAGTGGAACTTCACTTTCTCAGTCAACATTGACTATTTTAAACCATTTCAATACCGTGCAATTTTACACCTTCCTGCCCAGGCCATTTTTCAGGTTTCAGCGCTCTCACACTTTGAATGAAAATTGCGCGGTCATACAACACTGTACCCAAACTAAAATTTTATCATTTTCTTCACACAACTAGAGCTTTCTTTTGGTGGTATTTAATCACCGCTGGGGTTTTATTTTTTGCTAAATTAACAAAAAAAAAGACCAAAAATTTTGAAAAAAACCCACATTTTTCTTTGTTTCAGTTATAAAAGTTTACAAATAAATAATTGTTTTCATAAATTTAGGCCGAGATGTATTCTGCTACATGTCTTTGGTGAAAATAACCCAAATTAGGATGTATTATTTAGTTTGTAGGAAAGTTATAGAGTTCACAAACTATGGTATATATCTGAAAATTGATCAATCCTGAAGTACTGACGGCCAATCTAATTTCTTGATGTCCAAGAATGTCAGAATAGTACAGATATCCCCAAATGACCCCTTTTTGCAGAGTAGACAGTCCGACGTACTTCATAAGAGGCATGGCGAGTTTTTTGAAGTTGTATTTTTTTTGTCATAATATTTCGGGAAATTAAAAAATTAAAAAAATATTTTCACAATTTTTTTTTTTTACATACTGTCACCAGTGCAGTACAGCGTCATCATATAACTGGCATGGCGGTGAACAGGGACACTGACTGGTGACAGTATGAAAAAAAAAATATATATATATTTTTTTTTTTTTTTTTTTTTATTATTTTTAATTTTTTATTACTTTTTTTTTATTTTTTTAAGATTTTATTTTCATATTTTACTATGACCAAAGTAGTACAATGTTACCATAGTAACATTGTACTACTTGGGGAAGTGATCAGTATTTTTTTTTTTTTTTTACACAATTTGCTTATAGCAAAGAATTACTTTGCTATAAGCAAGCATTTACCTGAATGAAATCGATTCATTCAGCTTTTTTTTTTTTTTTTGTGCTTAGCTGTGATTTGGTCACAGCTAATCACATGACATGTGCATGTGATTAGCTGTGACCATTCACAGCTAGGCACTGGTATACAATGGATGGCATGAATGAAGCCATCCATTGTATACAACTGTCATGTGACCTGCTGTGATTGGTCAAAGCAGGTCACATGGTACCAGCAACGGGAGCCGGTACTTGGATCTGTCATCGGCCGTGTCCGAGGTGCACGGCCGGTGACAGATCGCGCTGCTGCGCCGCTCTGCATTAGCGCAAACTGCGCATGTGCGGGAGCACGCCAAATGGCGTGCACCCGGAATGCAGGAACACTTTTGAAGCCGCCAAACGGCCATTGGCCGGGCGGCTAATGGTTAAATTCTTATGTTGTTAACATTAGTAAATAGATAGGAATGTATATTATATTCACTTGTTCCAACCTTTTTAGGGTTGCTGGTTTAGGATTGCTTAAGAAGGAACAATAGAAGCCTCTGTCATTACAATGAGCATACAAGCATGTTCAGGGTTATTTACTTATTAAACTCAACTCATTGATTTTGACAAACAATTCCTCAAGGTCCCATTAGCACTAAGACTGGGAAACATTCATGTGACACTGGATTTTTATTTATATGAAATCTAAACCATTTTTCCTCAAAACCCATGTTTTTATAGTTTAGAAGCATGTGTCATATTTTTAATTCATAGTGGCTCTGACACTAGTTAGAATCTAAAAGGCCCATCCCCAGTCTGGGAGCATCAAAGAACAGAGAAGAGTGAGGAATAAGGTAAGGAATTTACTTTATTCATCATCCCATAGAGAAAACAAGAATTGAACCTATGCTGTGCTGCAGAGGGGGCACTGCATGGATTTATTTTACACCAGAGTTCAGCTTTAAAAGCCATTTCAGTTTTTTCCCATCTGTGTCCCATTGGGGGGATTTTCTTTCATTTTCTTCCTGCCCTGTAGACACAACAGGAAGTGATATTCTCTCAAAAGTCAGATCAACCATCTCTTAGACAAGGTTTACCCCAAAAAATGGTCTGCATTGGAATATTTTGCTTTGACAACTCAATAATGTTGGCTTTTCACCTCACCTTCTGTCTTGGTTATGGTGATCATCAGGACATATAGAGGAGCTAATCTCTTTACAGAGACAGCAGTAAAAGCCTGACAGTATTTCAGACCCCCACCATCATCCAAAACTGAGGCACAGATATCACATTATTTTGGGTGCCTAGTCTGAGATCTGAGCTTATTGGAATAGGCAACCTGACCAGGTTTAGAAGCAAGGATAAAATGGTTAACCACTTGCCTACCGGACACTTATACCCCCTTCTTTACCAGGCCAATTTTCGGCTTTCAGCGCTGTCGCACTTTGATTGACAATTGCGCGGTCATGCAAGATTGTACCCATATGAAATTTTTATCATTTTGTTCTCACAAATAGATATTTCTTTTGGTGGTATTTAATCGCCGCTGGGCGCTTTACTTTTTGCACTATTAACAATAATTACAAAAAATTTGAAAAACATTTTTTTCTTTGTTTCTATTATAAAATTTTTCAAACAGGTAATTTTTCTCCTTCACTGATGTGCGTTGATGAGGCAGCACTGATAGGTGGCACTGATGGGCACTGATACGCAGCACTGATGGACACTGATAGGCAGAACTGAAGGGCACTGATAGGCGGAACTGATAGGCAGCACTAATGAGGTGGCACGGATAGGCGGCACTGATGATGGGTACTGATAGACAGCACTGATAGGTGGCACTGACTGGCATCACTGCTGGGCACTGACTCGCAGCACTGCTTGGCATTGACTGGTGCAACTGCTGGGCACTGACTGGCACAACCACTGGGCACTGACTGGTGGCACTGACTGGCACCACTGCATTGATGGGCACTGCTGGGTGGCACTGGTGGGCACAGGTGGGTGGGCACAGGTGGGTGGCACTGCTGGGCACAGGTAGTTGGCACTTCTGGGCACAGGTAGGTGGCACTGCTGGGTGGCACTGCTGGGCACAGGTGGGCGGAACTGGTGGGTGGTACTGCTGGGCACCAATCATCAGGGCACTGATCATCAGTGCCCTGATGATCGGTGCCGATCCCTGCTCTGACAACTGCTGGTTCTCGGCAGTACTTTCCTCGCGCTCTGACAGCGTGAGGAAAGTGCAGCCGAGAACCGGCAATTGCGTTTCCCGGTGATCAGCATGTCATTGGACACGGCTGATCACATGGTAAAAGGCCGCTGTGATTGGCCTTTTACCACATCACGTGATCAGCTGTGTCCGTAGGACACAGCAATCACGGAGATCGCTGGGTGCGCAGGAGAGCGCGTTCTGGAAGGACGTCATATGACGCCCTCCCAGAACTGGTCGGCCGCAGTGTAGCCGTCATTCTACTATCTGCGGTTGGCAAGTAGTTAATAGTTTTTGTTTTACACAGATTATTGTTTATTACAGGTATTTATATTAGGAATGCAGCGAAATTTCGGCCACCAAAACATATCGGCCGAAAATAGCCCTATCAGCATTTTGCTTATAGGAAAGATTTAGCCTATACAGGTGCCGATACAGTAGACTGTGTGTACTGCAGATGTGAGGGGGGGGCAGCTGAGAAAAGCATAAGCTGAGAAATACAGTGACTGGCTATTACTATATGTCAGTGCTTGTTTTTAAATGTAATTATACAGTGACTGGCTATTACTATATGTCAGTGCTGGTTTTATATGTAATTATTTTTTTTTCTTCACTATAGCTCACAGAATTAGCTGTCACTTTCCCCCCAGCTAAAAGAAACAAAGTCCTTTTAGTTTCTTTCCCAGAGTTAAAAGAAACAAAGTTTTCTTTTAGTTTCTTTCCCAGAGTTAAAAGAAACAAAGTTTTCTTTTAATTTTTTTCCCCAGATAAAAGAAACAAAGTTTACTTTAACTCCAGGGAAAGTGACAGCTAATTCTGTGAGCTACAGTGAAGAAAAAAAAATCCGGCAATTGCATTTAAAAACTGGCACTGACATAAGATGACAGCCAGTGAGGGAGCCTCTCTGTATACCCTGCTCCCTCACTGTATAGACTGCTCCTCTCTTGCCCCCTCCTTGCACACACATCCCCCTACAAAGAGGGCCTGTCACTCATATGTTATCACATAGGGGACTATTGGTCCCCTATGTGATAGCAATAAAATCATAAGTTAAAAAAATATTAAATATATATATATATATATATATATATATATATATATATATAGATAAAAAAGAATACAAAAAAAATTGGAGCTCAATCCCAAACCCCCCCCCATATACGCAGACATTTCAGTTTTGGTTCAGTTTTCAGTCACATACATTCTGAATTATCGGCACTAGAATTTCCATTTCTGTGCACCACTATTTTATATAGTGCTGATAATTTATGCAGCGCTTTACACATATATTGTACGTTCACATTAGTCCCTGCCCTTAAGGAGCTTACAATCTAATGTCCCTAACTTGCATTCATACATACTCACACTAGGGCCAATATTGACAGGAGCCAAGTAACTTACCAGCATGTCTTTGAAGTGTGGCAGGAAACCAGAGTACCCGGAAGAAACCCACACAGGCAGAGGGAGAACATGCAAACTACGTGTAGGTAGTGCCATGGTTGGGATTTAAACAAATGACCATAGTGCTGGCAGGGAAAGTGCTAACCACTTAGCCACTGTGCTGACCATCTACCCTTGGAAACTATAGAAATATTATTGTTTACACTGTAGTGCTGTAAAAAATGAAAGCAATACAGCTACAAAGATATGATCACTATTTTTTAATGCTCCAAGGGTTTAAATCCATTTCCTGGTGTAGATAATAAACATGTTAGATATTCATGTTTTACACATTAAACTTTATTCCAGATGTCTCTGTGTGCACTGATGGGGAAAAAAAGCATTTTAACATGCCAAGATAACATAAACCTTCTGCAGCTGATCATCATGAATGTGTCCTAAGCAAAGGAGAAACTGGATCAACAATCTCAGAATTATTCCTGTCTGGCTGCTTCACGTATGAGACAATGTTGCCTTATGTTTAAAAGATATAATCAATATTTTGTTTGGTGGTCATTGTTCCAGACGCTAGAGTTCTACGTGAACTCTTTTACTTGTCAATGTGTCCTGAGGTGAAATAATGGCCATCATCAAGCTGATTAGTAAGACAATCTGACACGTGTTTACAAAGCAGGAAAATAAGCTCAGAGCCGCCCATCCATTTTTACAAAATTATTTTTTCACTGCGTTTAAAACTCTTAGCAAACTACTAAATACAGTTGAAAGACATATATGGGAGCTGTTTAACCTGGCAAAGGATTTGTCATTTTGTCACATTAGTCCTGAAATTCACACAGCTCTGTCGGAGAGAACAGTCAGAGAACCTTACTTTACTCCTACAGCTCATGGAACATCGATGTGATCAGCGAGCTGCAGATATAACAACAATTATTCTTAGAAATAGCATTAAACAATAGAATAAATACTAAAACTTACCTCCTTAATGTGAAACTTGAGCTTGTTTTTTTTCAAAGACGCTCAGTTCTGGGTCAAACTTGATATAAGCAGTGTACAGGGGGGCAGCGCAAAGCACAGGGGATCCAGGAGGGAACGGTAGGGAGGGGGGGGGGGGCAGGAGAGCACAGTACGGTACAAGGGGGGGCCAGGAGCACACAGTACGGGAGGGGGGGCAGGAGGGAAAACTATAGGGGGAGGGGGGGCAGGGAGTACAGCACAGTACAGGGGGGCCAAGAGAGCACAGTACGGTAGGGGGGGCGCGAGGTAACAGTATAGGGGAGAGGGGGTCAGGGGAGTACAGCACAGTACAGGGGGGGCCAAGAGAGCACAGCAAAATACATATGGCCAGGGAAGAATAGTTTAGGAGGGCCAGGAGGGAACAGTACAGGAGAGCCAGGAGGGAACAGTACAGGGGAGCCAGGAGGGAACAGTACAGGGCAGCAAGGAGGGAACAGTACAGGGGGGCAGGAGGGAACAGTACAGGGAAGCCAGGAGGGAACAGTACAGGCAGCAAGGAGGGAACAGTACAGGGGGGCAGGAGGGAACAGTACAGGGGAGCCAAGAGGGAATAGTACAGAGGAGCCAAGAGGGAACAGTACAGGGGAGCCAGGAGGGAATAGTACAGAGGAGCCAAGAGGGACCAATACAGGGGAGCCAGGAGGGAACAGTATAGGGGGGCCAGGAGAGAACAGTACAGGGTACGATGAGGGAAAAGTATAAGGGGGCCAGGAGGGAACAGTACAGGGGGACTAGGAGGGAACAGTATAGGGAGGCATGAGGGAACAGTACAGGGAAGCTAGTAGAGGACAGTATAGGGGGAGTAACATTCATATATCCAGTGTACAAAAGCCACCATCAGATTAATGAGCTGCTTACAAGATGTTTATAACCCACATCATAAGAGGTCTAAATCAGCATTTTGATGACAAGATATCCCACATGGATGAATGGATGACACCAGCTCACATTTCCTCACAGCCAACTATGACTCAAGCCACTCTCACATAAATATGGCATGCCTCAGAATTGTATTGGATTGCTTCTCGTATGCCGATCTTACCACCGCAAAAACACACCAAGGAGAGAACAGGGAAATCCCATAGTGAAGTACTGTATAAAATGTATTAGTAAAACCAAATAAAATACTCACAAACAGAAGAAATAGAAGTATAACACACAGCACTGCCAGGACACCAGGCAGGCGTAAAGACGTCACCACTAAACTCCACCCAACACACGTTTCGTCTGATGGGATGTCCTCCAGTGGCGTTATTTTTTTATTTGTAAACAAATGGCTATATGCTCTCAACCAAATGGGATATAAATATTTTTATATATGCTTTTTGCTATAGCAAGGGGTTTTTTGGGCATTATTTTATTTATTCTAATATTTGGAGTACATTTATAATTTGCTGTTTCTCCAGAGTGGCAGCTGCTACACTCGTTTAATCTTTTTTATTCTATGTGAGTAATAATTGGTGGAGAAAAGCGCTCTCTGGTGGTAAACGATCTGTAGCCTATAAAGTATTACTGTGTACATTCACCGTTACTCTGATGCCCCTGAAAGACTTCCCATCAAACAACCGTGCAATACGTGGAGGTTAGGGGAGATGTGTGCTCTTATTTCTTTTCTGTTTGTGAATGTTTTATCTGGGTTTACTAATATATTTTATACAGTACTTCACTATGGGATATCCTTGTTCTCTCTTTGGTGTGTGTTTGCGTTGGTGAGATCAGTACATGGGAAGCAATCTAGTGACCATTCTGGGGCTGGCTATATTTATGTGAGAGAGGCATGTGGCATAGTTGGCTGTGAGGAAAAAGTGAGCTGGAGCCATCCATGTGGGCTAGTTTGTCATCTAAAAGCTGATTTAGACCTCTTATTATGTGGGGTCTAAACATCTGGTCTTTAATCACATGGTGGCCGGTGTACACTGGATATACGAAGATTACTTTTCACTCAAGGCAGACTTTATAAATTGATTTAATAATGGATTTTATTATTGATTTATTGCACTTTGAGATTATTTACTTCACTTATTGATTTTGGTTGACAGCGCAACACTATTTTGAATTGATGTTTTTGTTATTTGTCTAGATATCAGTGAGGGCGGCAGTCAATGATTTCACATTGATTGTTGATAAGACCAGATTATTATTTTTTTAGTACGGGATATATGTATTATATATTAACAGTATAGGGGGGGTCAGCAAGGAACAGTATAGTACAGGGGGGCCAGGAGGAACCTGGAGGGCGCAATACTGGAAACTGTAGCTGTTTTCCTCATTCAGAGTAGCTCAGGGAAACTGCTGGATCGGGATCATGTCTTGCGCGCTGCTTCCCGCCAACCTCCTCCCTTCTGAGTGGTGTCACACACAGGCCCTTGAGATGGATAGAAGGGGAGGGCCGGCTGGAAACAGCACAGAACCGTGATGTTAGTTGTTTTCCTCTGCCGCTTGTCAGCTCTTTGAGGATGCAATCTACTGTTTACCTGCTTATGATGAACAGTAGATCATGGCACTGGGGACATCTTGCAGAACCTGGGGTTCCGTGGAGCCTGGGTTGAGAAACCCTGAAGGAGCAGCAGAAGACAGATGAGGCCATATCTCTACTGCTATTAGCATATTCCTTGTGCTGCTGTACGGGGGATACAGTAA